GAAAAGCTCTAGACTACGAGTAGTCCCCCATTTTTCCTCAGGGATAGTAGAGCGAGCAAAACGCGAGCACGCGTGAAAATCAACCCACGCGAGAAAAGGCGACACGCACTCGCGTTCCGCTCGCTCTACTATCCCTGAGGAAAAATGGGGGACTACTCGTAGTCTAGAAAAGCTCTAAATTTAATCTTTCCTAAGCTTTCGTCGAAAAACATGCGTGGCTTCGATCACGCAACTATTCTTATTCCCAGTTTCCACGGTCTCCCCTAGGAACGCCTGCCACAATGATCTCCATTTGTGTACAAGATACGAAGAAAAACGCGTTACAGACTATGAGTCTCGCTGCTTATGCATGTAAGCGAGACTAATTAATTACAAACATAAATCTACTCACGGCGTTTGTTTTCTAAAAATTAATTTTAGTGAGCTCTTCCAACTCAAATTATTAGCTTAGGTAAACTGAGAACTATAATCTGCTATATTGTAAATCCTTACAACAATTAAAGCACCTTAAGTGGTAATAATCAAAATTAGTTACTGGCGAAGGTATGCTTTGCCAGGCTGGGCAATTTCCCATTTAGTAGGAGAGCAATACTTTCATTTTTACTAAAACTATGGCTTAATGGTCATCTACTATTCGTGATATTAATTACAACTTGGGTCAGTTGAGTCAGTTGACATGTTGTGCTCAACTTCCTTTTTCTTCTCTCTTTCAATGTTGGCTTCAAAACTGGAAAAATCCACTGAAAAACCATTACTTAAGAAAAGAGAAAGGGAGGAACCAGGACTGTGTAACCCTTGTTATAATCTGGTAACCTACAGTAAATAAATTAAATTTGCCAATAAATAAATGGCAAGCAATAAATGTAAAGTGATAAAAGCAGTAAATTTTGTTTGATAATAAATTAAAATCCAAACAAAAAAAGACTGTCTTACAGTCAACTTATAAATGTTTATATGAGCCCCAATTTTTTAAAAAAAATTAGTTATATAGCATATCAAACATAGCATTCAAAATTATGCCTTTACCCAGCCTAGTCCCCATGAGTTTTCGGCTCGGTCATTCTTGGACTCTACCATGAGCTGTGATGTCACCGAGAGATACTCGCCAAGAACGCCGTTCTCTTGCCCGCTCTCTCCCAGACTTCGAGCGGACAACGGATCAAGAGAGAATGCCTAGGGACTAGGCTGACTTTTATCCAGTACATGAAAGGAAAAACGCTAGGAGCCCCTATGGCCACAGCTTATAAAACTTGGTCTAATTCTAGTAACCAGCCAGACAATGAGATGTCCCTCATTTTTCTCAGGGATAAAAGAGTGAACAAAACACATGAATAGGCATGAAAATTCCTTGCGGGAATTTTTCATGCACGTTTGCATATCTTGCCTACTGTAGCTCACCTTCCTTATGGGTGGCAATTTTCATGCAAACTCTACAAATCAGTATTTGTCTACTTCTATGCTTTACTTTCTCCTTTAAAAATTCACTTCCTTAAATTGCATTTAAAGGTTGTATAAATTTAAAAATGTAAGATTACTACAATGTTGATGACAAAAAAGATGAAATGTCTTTAGTTGATTTTCAAAACAATTTTCCCTACTAGTACAGTATTTTTTAGAATTTGAAGGTAAATCTGAATTGACGGCTTGGCTTAAAGTTGTCGAGAGCCTAAGAAGATGCCATGTCAAAATCAGGGCGAAAACAAAGTCAAACTAAAGGGAGATCCACCTTCCCCCTCTTGACACCGTTAGCGAAAGTAACCTGATAATGTTCTGCCGCCTCCTGGAATAATCAGCTTGAAGAATTAGCAAAGCTAAATTTGCTTGAAAACAAGCAATCAGGTCAGAAATAGGCCCAAGTATAAAAGACAAGAAAGGGGAGCGCCTGTCCGGCATCTTGAATAAGTTTCTAATTTTGCGCGGAGTAGATTGGAACTGATAGTGTGTCCTCAGCGTTTTTGAAAAGTTCCCTTTTCATTGATCGTTTTCATCGGATACGTGTGGACCGAAGCCGTATCCGTAAAGAAAAAGTTGCGTTTTCATATAAAAACGGATGCCTGTGCACAGGGCCTAAATTTGATAACAGCTTAATTTTCCTTTAACTTTCAAAGCGACCATAATGAAAATGCTAGAATAATCCTAAATCCCAATTCGTAAAGTGAATATTCCATCTACAGGCGAAATGGTAAATCCACCCAGTGAAGAGAACGACAGCAAAGTACATATTCTCATTCATATTCCTTGACATCTTGGTATAGAGCGTTTCCACATGACGTCAAGGTGGCAATATTTCTGTTCCAAAACATGGGTTACTTTCTTAATATATAGTATTTTATGCTGCTGTTCCATTTTTCCTTATTCCTCCACGATTAGTATCTAAGCTTGTATGGAAGCTGGCGGAAGAAATAGGCCTGCAGTTGGCATCAAAGTGCTTTCCTTCCTCGGTTCTCCGGCCAACGGCCAACGGCAAAGAAAGCAACGCGCCAAATACCCCCGATTTTAAAATCGAAACCTAACGGAAACAATATATCATTGATTTGTAATTTTGAGAGGGATCAATGTAGTATCGAACTTAACCGTGCGCAACGTAAAGGTTCTGTAACCGGACACTAATCGCATATTTTGAATTCGCAAAATCCTGCAAGAAGATCTGGTACATGCGCAATAACCAGACTGTGTTTCTTCAAGACATTTTATCTTTAATGGACACTTTTTTAATTCTCATGACTCAGTAATGTGCAAACTAATAACTGCGATTCTTTAAACTAAAGGTAATTACAATGTTCATCAGGGATGAGTCACAATATACCGTCTAACGTTACGAGTAACTCGGTGCAAATCGTAGCTAAACAAAAGAAGAAATATGTAAAAATATGAATAACTATGAGTATATTGTATTTTTTGAATGAAGCTAGCATTACCTAATTCTCTACAAATAGCATGCATTGTTTTTAATGTGTACAAATCTATGGATTCATTCTGCAAACACATTTTTCCATTAATCAATATGTCTAAAACTATACGCCCAGGGGCGGATCTAGTGGGAGTGTGCAGGGGTGCGCACCGCCCCCCCCCTCCCTTCCTGAGATGACCTTTGGCTTTCTAATACAACTGGTATTCTGCAAAATATGAAGATATGTATGATATTTATTCTTAGCAGTTCAAACTATATTATTAGGGACCTTAAGCAACGACGAAAACAACGTCAAAAAAAAAATTGGTTTTACGAGCAAAACTGCTCTGCACGTGCATCACGCTTTTTAGTACATTTCTTTGACGTCTACTGCACGACTACGACGTGAAACCTCCCAATGCGACGTCTAACGGAGGACGTGGACATACTACGACAAATTTTCCCTTCTCTATTTGAACATGGACAAAGCCCTTAAGAATTCAACTCCAGGAAACTGAAGTCGCCTATATTTGAATAATTGAGCGGTTCCAAATAGACGTGATAAAGTTTGAAAGGACCCAAATTCATTTTTTTACTGATGTTTTCACTGCCGTCGTCGTAGTCGTTGCTTGGTCCCTGATGCACTGTATTCGCTTTTGAAATTTGTTTAAAATTTGAAGAGTACTTGAAGCTACTTACTTAAAGCCACACGGAAAGAAAAAAAAATTGAAACAAGAATTTGAGGACACACCTGCGAACCGAACTCGGACGTTGCCGCATTCGCCATTTGCACATTTCCCATAATACACCTTGTTTGCCCCCCAAAATTTTGCATAACCTTTGTTTTTCATTTCTCCTGGGTATTACAGCCGTCCGAAAAGAAATTGATGACAATGTTTATGCACAATTTTGGGGGGGCAAACAGGATGCATTTTGGGATGAGAAAAGATTATTTATTTAATGTCAAACACACAGGGAGTGGTTACTCAGTCTCCCGAGCCGAAGGCTCAGGTTAAAAGTGATTGACAATTAAAAACTAAGAATTAAGAAGGATAAAAATCTAAACAGGTTTGCGCGTATTGATAAATAGGTAAATTAATAAAAATGGAAGGCTGATTAAAAATACAAATAGAAAGATCCCTAAGTTATGTTTAAAATACTAAAAAAGAGAAAAAAAATGTGCACAATCTAAAAATCAGTTTTAGAAGAAATATCAAATGCATTTATTGCATTGACATCCAGTACAATTCTGTTTCTTTAGAAGACTACGAAAAGATGCCACCGGGATATAATAATATACTATTGTACTAATAATAATAATATGAGTAAGTAGCGAATAGAAAATCGCTCATTAATCGATAGTGCTGATCCTCCCTCCTCCTCTGCTGCTGACTGCGCGCATTTTTTATGCATTTTTCATTTAGTATAACTACAAACCGGCAATAGTGACCTAATACATCTTTAGTTCCTAAGCCGTGATCGTTTTCAATACAGTGAGAACTTTGTGCTTTTCACTAATTTCTTCATGTCAACAGTAGTTCCTGGGTGTAAAACTAACTCTCACAGAATTATTAAAACTCACTGGATTTCTATAGTTTCTAAAACTCACAATAATGACATAATCTCATGCTAAAATGGAGCGGATTAAAGTGTCTTCACCATGACCAGCCCTTTAAGCAAAAGAAAATTACTTAACAACCGAACCGAAGTATCATTCAAGTTTCTACAGAACGCACTCAACTCATCAGTTTAATTGCAACTTTTTACGCAACCAGTAGCTTACCAGCTAAACTGGCGAATGGTCGCTAAATTCGCCATTTTCGTCAAAATCGCCACTTTCCTGTTGCCGTTACAATTGAGGTTTCCGAGCGCAAAAACCTGACGAATTTTCGCCACACTCGCAATCTTCGCCAAATACGACGTGCAATTCTGGACACATAATAGATGTTTTATACCAAATCAGCATATTCATTACTCTTAATTATACTTCATTTTCAAAAGACTCGAACGTTAGTCGTAATCATAGCTCAGAATTGGCGTGCCTTTTCTAACAAAGAACTTGTATTTCTACACAACTGTTTCAAAGGTGCCCAACTAAGCACGGTGGTCTTCAGTGCATGTGACGGTCAGTGTCCTGTCCTTCAGGATTCTGGGGTCTTTCATTTTCGAGGGGAGGAGCACGAAAAATAAGTTCGATAGAAGCATGCTTCCGCCACGTAGCCCAAGCTATAAATGCAGTAATAAAATATAAAGAGGAGGTTTTAAGGAATTCTTCTGCAGCCGTCTGTCCACCAATTGAGGGCCCTGGTAGAACTACCACGGCAAAAAGGCACCCCACAGCAATACATCCCGTCACACAAACAACCATAGTTGTCTGGCGTTCCGAAAAAGTATAGGACTTTAAAAACGCAATAACTCGGTTTGGGGCATCCGTGTTATTCCTTTGACTGTTGTCATCTCTCGAGTCAGAACGCGAGCGAAAAGAAGGGTTAGGCAAAGAATAAGTTCCCCATAAAAGGGCTTTAAGTGTAATTTCGCGCCCTCTTATGTTATAACCGTTTGGGTAGGATACCTCCAGGTAAAGGTACACGCCGTAAGTCGATGCAGCTAAAGTAGAGATGACAGAGAGAGCAACAGTCAAACCCCATGACGGATTGATTCTTATCCCAATTAAAAGCCAGCAACATATAGAGCTTATTGCATTTCCTCCAAATACATATAGGAAAATTATTACTGGAATAAATTCTTCAGGAACATCCGATGAATACAGGTGCGTGAATGAATCATTACCAAGGTGCAAGAAAATACATGAAATCAAGGGACCGTAAGTTGTAAAGAAATAGTTGACGGACAAATGCAAAGTGATTCCACGTACAACAAAAAAATACACACTGCATAGTACTGACAAGAAGTGAATCGATAAAAACATGGCACTTACTATGTTTTCATCCATGCCACTTAATCTGTTTATGCCGAGTACCGCCCAAGTGAAAATAAGGCTAGTGCTTACTTCAAAGATAAAGCGTGCAACTACAAATATGTTGTCAGCACTATGTCCTTCGCCGTAACTGAATGACTTATGACCCAGTGTAACACATTGAGCTGTGTTCAAAGAAGGATCCCGAATATCCGGACTTACAGCCAGGTCTTGTAGCTGTAGATCAACAAAAAGAAAAGTTACAGTGATTTGTGTTCATTATTAATAAGGATATTATTATCAACTGTTATTGTTTATCATAATTTTCATTATGATTAATATTATAAGTAGCCTGTGCAGCAGGCGCGTTCCAATCCACATATTGCGTGAAAGTTGCAAGAAAATACATGGAAGTTCGAAGGAGGGGAAAAGTGGAAACCTTGACGAACTCGCGCGAGAAACGCGCCCCTTCCTACGCACGCTATCGCAGAGGTTATGTCTGCCACTCAAGACTGTTTCTTTTCATTAAAGCTAGCCTTCTTTTCGCATACATAACTGCAATGAATTTTCACGTAAATCTATTTCAGTATTATTTATTCAAACTATTTCTCCGTTCCTGGCTTGCTTTTAAAATACCCTGGGCTATATTCCGGAGGGTGTAATTTGCAGGTTGCAGGTTGCAGGTTTCACGTGTCAGGTTACAGGTTGCAGGTTGCAGGTTGCAGGTTGCAGGTTAGGGTTGCAGGTTGCAGGTCAGAATTCGGAAAAAGAGTTAAATGTCCTGAATGGTTTACAAATCTTCCGGAGGTCCTAAAACAGAACATTACAATGATGTTTTGGTAATATCATATTCTTGACAGGGTCACGCAAAACCGGAAATATCAAATCTCAAATCTATAAAACGATTCTTTAGTCCAAGGTCTTTTTTTTAAGAAGGAAGGTTTTAAAATTGTGAGATCAGCTGCTCCTTCATCGCTGCTGTCCATCTCATCGCCCCTGGCAAAGCTAGCATAGTTACAGAAAAGACCGGTTCCTCGTCGCTATCGCCGTGTGCCGTACCTACGATAGAAATGGAAATTACACAGCGATGGTGACCCAATTTATATGTGCAACTCGACTAAACACAAAAGAAAGTTTGATATCGGTTTAAAAGCAAAAATAAATTTCGATGAAATCCATGTTGGATGCACGCCGTGGACAGCCGGCACTTGGAGAGTAGATCATTAACCACCGGAAATTTCAACATCCGTTCTTTTTTTTTTTGTCACCATTCGTTATAGTTTTAAACGACAAGACAAAACAAAAATATATGATCTCGAATTCCAACTGCGCTTGAGAAATTCTGATTTATATATAGTGCAGTGTGGTACTATTGCCAGTCATTGAATTCAAAGCTCAGTTACCTCTTTGTAGAAAGAGGGATGCGAAATCTAACTGCATCCAAACAATTTTTGCGTTCGAGGTACGAGAACGCAACCCCTAATTTGCGTTGGGTGTTCAAACACAATCATTGTGCACCGGCATTCACCACAAAAATGTGGTCTTGGGTCGTTCTTTAATATCATCACAAGTTAAGAAGACTTGCCAGTAACGGTTTCCGGCATTTTATACTATATTTCAGTTAAATTTTCTACATGTGGAATTCCCAATATTAAATAAAATTAATGATTATATCTAAAACTTTGTCAACTGTTTACTTTTTAACAGTACCTGGGCCGGGTTGTTCAAAGCTGGGTTAAGATAACCCAGGCGAGGAGGGTTAGTGCGAAATTTGAACTCAGATGTGAAAGCTTCATTTTGCCAACGAGTTGATGACTGGACGCTCTTAAAAATAACTGAGAAAATTATCCAAAGAAATGTTTTTTCACAAAAGAAAAAGAAACCCGGGTTAAGCGGTGATCGGCCTTCGAACAACTGCGCCCTGTAGAGCATCTATTGCGCCAAAAAAACAAAAACGTCTTTTTACACGCCCGGAGCACTCTGGCCAGTGTCTCCTCAAATAACAAGCATTTGAGACGAACCATACGATATCACGCTGCTCACTAGCCTTCAAAACGTTTTCACGAACGCACTCTCCTAAGCTCCGATTACTCCTAGTTTACATGTAAAACGTAAGACCTTCCTTCTTGCCTTGAAAGGTCTGGAACTAAAGGATCTTCAGTACAGTACTGAGATTTGATATATCCAGTTTTGTGTGACCCTGTCAAGAATATGATATCCGAAAACATCATTGTAATGTCCTGCTTTAGGGGCTCGGGAAGATCTGTAAAACATTTAGGACTTTTAAATCTTTCTCAAATTCCAACCTGCAAACTACACCCTCAGGGCTATATTCTTCATAATCAGTTCACGGCTATCCGAAAATAAACTAAAACGCGTTTAGTAGCGTTTAGTCTCGCTTGCTTAGAGGATTTTAGATAAGAAATGACGAGGCCATTAATTCTGTATGAATCAGGATTTCCTCGCTCGGCTAAACGTTTTCACTGCCTACTTTATCGACAGTCGAGTAGTTTTTCAAGATAGTTACTTTTTATATCGCATAATTTCGACCCTGTGTGAGTACGCATGTGTAAATACACGAAAATCAAGGGCCTCGATTCGAGAGAAATTACATAAAAAACGTGATGAACGTGGCACGTCATTTCATCGCCAAAAATAAACCGCATGCTCATCACAAGATTCATTTGCATACAATAAAAGTTTACAACACCCGACCAGATTGTCTCACCATCGAAGTTTTGCTCTTTAAGATTCTTCTCTTTTTCGACCATTGACGTAATCACTTGTTCCAAAGTAATCAACGCTTTCAAGCGATAGAAATCAGGGCGGATAAAGGTTGGGCGGTGAAACGAGCGCTCCGCTCTTCATTTAATGTGTGACGCGGATTAGGACTGCCACGAGCGCTCTTTCCGCGCTTCCGGTGCGCTTGAAGGCCGGCGAAATTTTCCTTTTTGCAAACCGGAAATCCTATTTTCTTTCTGCAATTTCAGGCTACAATGTTAAATAGGTAAATTTGTTTAAAACAATATCTATAAACAGTTTCATATGTTTGTGTTTGTGTGCCTGTAAGTCAAACTTGTTGGTCCTATAATGCCAAAATTTGAGTTTAATTTGAAAGTGTTGAATACCTCCTCCTTCCACTAAATATCACCTAATCGTCTTTCGCCGTTTCGTTTGCAAAAGCCTAACACTTCTTAACCTCAATTTTTACATATGTTAAAGGGGGATAAATTTTATATAACATAACAAAAAATTAGATTGATATATTTTGATATAGTGGCGTTGTACTGCTTCAAACTTTGCTTCTCGCGTGCAACGCGCAATGGCGATTCACGCAATGCGTCGCAAATCAGGCAACCGCATGTAAACAAAATTTATTGTGGTTAGTTGTAAGGTTTTTTCTCCGTTTTTCTCTCTAAAACAAAACAAGGTAAACAGTACTAGTAAAAACTGAGGGAAACTAATTTTGAAGTTTCGAAGAACCAGAAAGACGTATAAGATGTTTTTTTTCAAAATTAAAAAGAAGGATGATGGTGATTGAAATTAGCATAATTTCACCTTGCACGAGCTGCACGCATTTTACCCTGCAAGCAGTGGTTTCTCCGGGTCAGACGCTACGCTACGAAGGGAAAGAAACCACTGCGAGCATCCGTTTCCTTCTTTGATCGAGCCGCCGTCCAGCGCTATGGACGAATAAGTCAACTTTAAACATGTAAATCCTGTTTGAAAGCAAGTTTAGGCTCTCGCGCATTTGCTTACGCTTACAACTGCTGCCTTAACGCGAGCCTGCTGTGGATATTCAGTATTTCTTTGGATTATTTATTCCTATCTACTTATTTTGTCAAATGTAGGCGAACCCAAATGGAGTTGAATTCCAAGGGACCATATCCAAGTTCAAAAGCGAAAAGAAGAATAAATTTCGTCGTTGCTTGTTTACGTTATCCATAAAACGCAAAATTAGGCACTGGCTTCACGTCGTAGTCGTGCAAAAATGGCAAAAAAAGGCAAAAATAAAAGCGTGGTGCACTTGCAAAGTTGTTGTTTTGCTTATTAAACCTATTGTTTTGTTGAAGTTCTCGTTGCCGTCTTGTCGTTGGATATTCGCAGTCATCACGTGGACGCGCATGCTCGATGGAAAAGCAAACGGTTGCTCGCAGTGGTATCTTTCCCATCGAAGCGTAGCGTCCGGCCTGGAGAAACCACTGCTCGCAGGGTACACGCATTTATAAAATACACTTCATCTTGTTATGAAACACGATCTGCTGTCTTTTAGTTTTGCTATGGATGGGATTTTCCTTCGTGTTTTAGACAGTACTTAGTTATTTTTGTTTTGGAATAACATCGACATTGGCGAGTAGTAGAACGAAAATATCAGTCAGTGGTAGAGTCATGGAAGTAATTAGAGAAACCCTTTGAAAGAGATGTTTGTCTACTCCAACAAAACGCCCCTGTAAAAAATAGCAACATTTGCCTCTCGGAGACAGCAAGAAAACAAATCAAGCCGCCATAATTCAGTGACAGCGGCAGTGTTTAATGGACAAACCACATCGCAAGCCCTGACCGAAGTCGAAAATAAGTCTAAGCAGAGTCCCAGTCCACTGCATCACACCTTTTTGCTCGGACGCGCTCGTTTCACCGCTCAACCTTTATCCGCCCTGATAGAAATCGTGAACCGACCCGTTCCGGAAAAGCTCGACATCTTTCAAATTAACATTTTCTGAGCTTTCTATGCATGGCTTTCGCCACGCCGCCAGTCTTATCCCCAGAAATAAAAAATATATATATAAAACAGGGAATCTTTAAAACGGGAAATCTCTTTAAAATGGGCAATCTTTAAAACGAGGAATCTTTAAAATGGGGAATCTCTGGCAATGATGTAATTTCTCTCGAATCGAGGCCCCTTGAATTTTCGTATAATTATACACCAAATCGTCGAAAACGATATAAAAAGTACCGTCGATAAATTAAAGTAGGGAGTGAAAAACCTTTACCGAGTAAATCCTGTTTCGTGTAGAATTAATCACCTTCTCCTTTCTTATCTAGTCTCCAAGCAAGCGAGACTAAACGCCCATTTCAAGAGCTATATTTAAAACGAGGAACAGGGATCGGGGAATAGGAATGGAGAACGGGGAACAGGGAAACTCTTAACGGGGAATTTTTAAAAGCGGGAATATTTAAAACAGGGAATCTTTAAAAGCAGGAATCTTTGACTGGCAAGGAATCTTTAAAATGGGGAATCTTTAAAATAGGGAATGTTAAAACGGGGAATCTCTTTAAAATGCGGAGTCTTTCAATATTTAGAACAAAAGGACTCTGTTTGTTAAGTTGGACTAGCCTCAGCTTTATTCATCATTCGAAGCTAAATATTCCAGCTAGTCACTTTTAACACATTTTCTTGAATTCGAGAAAACCCATTTTATGAAGGTCAGTTACTTAGCAATTTTAAAGCCACAACAACATGAAGGTAAGTAAATTACGAATTTGAAACCACGACAAAGGCACTTTGAAATCTCCAACAGAAAACATAGAGTAGAAAGAAGTGAAACGAAGCACGTAGTGGCTACAAATACACGAATATTCCAGCCAAAAATGCTGCGTGGAAAATGATAATTTCTCTGTAGAGCACTGTATAAAGTTGTCATGAAATGTTAAATTCTCCTCAGTCTTCCGTTTCCCGAAAGCCACAACCGGGTGTCTGCTTGATTTGTATTTTTTGAAAGATAAACTTGATCGCTGGTTAGATGTTTGAGCGACAATTTTAGTAGCTGACTGTGGTGGCCACAGCCTGGGCGTCAAGGAAAATTGAGCAAATTCTCGATTTTTTTTTTTTTTTTTTGCCACAAGTTTCGCAAAAAGTTTTTTTATTTTAGAGAATAACAAGAAATTCAGTTTGCAAGTTTAGAAGTAGAGTCAGATGATATTTCTCGTTCAGTCTTGAAGGATTTATGCCCGGGGAAAGCTTCCGTAAAAAAGTGACGAAGACGCTCGTCGGAAAATGAAAAAAAAAATTAAAAACCTCTCAGGGAGACCAGCCGGGGTTTGGAGACCTTGCTAAAACAGATTTATAAATCATAGCTATAATGGTTTTTATTGTCTGGAATGTCATGTGGTTTTTTTTTAACATCACGTTTTAGAACTGTGATAGTATTTGCTCTCTGATTGGTCAAGAAACTATCATTTATTGTGCTGGTAAACTCACAGAAACTGTCGAGGTTATTATATTAAGGCAGTAAACCGCATTTTCTATGGGACTATCGGCATAATAACCCACTTGGGATGTTAGGAGAACAAGAAAAACTTGTAAATCACTCGCCTTAGGCTCGTGATATACAAGTTTTTTCTCGCGTTCTCCTAACATCCCGCGTGGGTTATTGAGCCAATAGGCCCATAGAAAATGCGGTTTATTGCTGAAGCATTTCTGCGTTGTCTATACCACGGTCGCGGTCACAGGCATGATTTCGCTTAAAGATTCCCCGCTTTAAGGTGTTTCGATATAGTTTTTCAGAGGCCATACCGATATTTTTCAATTGCTTTAAATGTGATTTTATCCTTGTCTGATCGCTATAAAATCTTCACCAATGATTGACTATAAATTGAAATTTGTCGAAATGTAGGTTCTAGTAAAATCGATATTACTATGACAACAATAACCAAAAACTTTGAAATTTATAAACGCCTAATTTTACGCGATCTAAACCAGCTACTGCAAATCCAACACTAGGAACTTAAAGTTTGCTGTTTAGCAAATAACCTCCGTAAGAAGTTAAAAATTCTGTATGTTTGAATTCGACTAAAACGAAAATATACTTCAAACCTTAAATTTTCAATAGCCGTGATAGACTATTTAATAAAGACGTTACAAATTGCTCAAATTATTCTTAAGTAGCCTCAGAATGCTGCTAAATATGATATTTCGACGCCAGGAAATTTTGGTGTATTTTCGTTCTTGATTTTTTTAAAATCTCTTCACATAATCTTCATAGTGTATATAATAATGTCTGAAATTTTCATTAAGATTGATTCACTGCAACACCTTGAAATTTCAAGACAAAACTACTTTACGAACACTGATACAGAATTTTTTACTTCTTACGGAGATTGTTTGCTAAACACCAAACTTTAAGTTCCTAGTGTTGGATTTCAGTAGCTGGTCCAGATCGCACAAAATTCGGCTTTTATAAATTTCAAAGATTTTGCTTAGTGTTGTCACAGTAATATCGATTTTACTTAAATCTACATTTTCACAAATTTCAATCCATAGCCAATAGACCTTTTTACCGATACGGCGGCCATTTAAGGAGTATTATAGGATGCCCGGGGGGCATGAGCACATTTCGTTTGTATTTTCGAGCGCTTTTCGGGACATTTTTTCGTAAAATTGTCTTAGAATAACATTATAATGGGAAAAAAGATCCTTGTGCCGTGTTTGGATGTAATAATGATCGCCTTTTTTCCGAGAAATTTACAGTGGAAGATTATATTTCTAATACTAAACCAGAAGAAAGGCGATCATTATTACATCCAAACACGGTACAAGGATCTTTTTTCCCATTACAATCTTATTCTAAGAAAATTTTAGGAAAAAATGTCCCGAAAAGCGCTCGAAAATACAAACGAAATGTGCTCATGCCCCCCTGGGCATCCTATAATACTCGTTAAATCAAATTAATTCAATATGGCCGCCTTATCGGTAAAAAGGTCTATTACTGGTGAAAATTTTATAGCGATTGGAAAAGGAAAAGAGCGCTCTTGTTCAGACAAAATCTGTACTTACTTCAAATAGTGCCCTTGTAAGAAATCCTTGTATCATTTCCTTTCTTTTCTCTGTGTTCTCTGATAAGTTGCAACAAAATGCAGGAATTTGTATGTTGAGCTCTTGCGTTCTAGAAGTCACAATAATGGAGCCAAGAGACAATAGTTCAAGTAGCATTGCAGGATAATTAGAAAACAGACAGTGTACACTCCAGGTAAACTTTGCTGGTGTCGAGTTGACCGTTTTATTGGGCCCATAAACATTTACTCTGACAAGAAATGATGGCTTTCCTCCTTCAGGATACAAGGCACGGGATATGTTAAAGCTGTTCTCGTTTTTTGTCAAGCTTTTGTAGACATGTTCATAAGTTAAACTGCAAGACGTTGAATTGGTGGAATTCATGCATTGCTTAATGACATCTGAATCCTCATTGTCTTCAGCAAAAGACAGGATAATGAAAAGAAAGCAACACCAAATAATGAGCCCAAAATTTTGCACTATATGCATGCTTGCAATTTCTCTCTTCAGTTCACTGAAAACTTCTCTGAAATGCTGAACAAAAAAAGAAACAACATTACTTTAAGGTGGTTGAAGACAGTTTTGCGGGCGGTCAGCGGTAATTCGCGTGACGGCGCGTGTTTACAAACATGGCGGCCAAAAAATAATGGTGCACAGGAGACGAATTCTCAAAATCTAGTCATTAAAATTTTGTGATATTTGGCAAAATTTTTATTTATATCGTATTTTAAATAATGAGAACTTTAAAATGGAAGTTGAACAGACAAATTTTGGGACACATGTAATAATTACAGTACAATTGTATTATTGATTAACTAAAAACCCGTCTGCTAAAATTTGGTTAAATAAGTTTCAGATGGTAATCATTAATTATAGTAAGCTGTGTGTACGTTTATAGGAAAATCTAATGAGCGAATGTTATGTGAACTGAGCCAAAGTGAAATTTTAAGGCTGTATTCAATCGTTTATGTTGCCATGAAAACTACGAAAACGTCAAATTTTACCTGTCAATCAAAATCTTTCATCAGTATATTTTTCACTTGCCAAGTTTCAGCTAGTGAGCTGCAACCTTCATGGTTCTCTTGCCATGATTTGGCAAATGACATTTACTCAGAAACTGCCAAAACTGTTTTCAGCCACCTTAGGCATCAATCTACCACTATCAACAAATTATTAAATATAATGGCAGAAAGCGATTTTAAGGAACGGTCAAGGTCTGCAGCAGTGACGGAGGTGAAAAAAGCCCTCCCCCTTAGCCTGGAAAATACTGCTCAATCTTACCTTTATAATTTTAAAGAGCCCTTGGGGCAAACATTTGGAAGAATTCAAAACAGAAATCATGTTTTAAACTGAGTAATATTGCAGCACAAAGTTTCTAACGATACCTTGGCGTAGTGCGGAGCAACCTTTGCCGATGTTTTAAAATATATAGATCCTTTACAACGCTGCAAGTGATGTGGATCGTCGGAACATTACTGATTCTACTGTAAGGTAGCCTTTGAAGAAACATTAAACCGTTTAAAAAAAGCCTAGAATCTTATCTCCTAGTGGTACAAAGCTCTCCCAAACAGTTACATAAGATGGATAATGAACGGTTACGCCTCAGAAGGACGCTCATTTATATGCAGATTATCAAACCTCATTAAAGTTCCGCGAATTTTGTACGGTCTTCAGAAGAAAAGTGATGTGTAAAGAGATCCTACTAAAGACCACTAAAATAAGTAATATAAATTAACTCTCTAACTGAGCCTTGAAGTGCCAAAGAGTACACTAAGCAAGGACTTTTACACCTTTTAAAAAGTTAGAGAGCACGCTACACTGACGCTAAATCAAAGACAATAATATTCTTATGCAATGACTGTGCAATGTCCCTTCGAATGTTGTGATCTGTGTGACTCCAGCGGACTTCATACGGCTCAAGAGGACGTATGAATAGAGTACATTGGAGCAGTCATCATTTAATGTTTTCTTATATCTATTTATTTTTATAGTCAGTGTAACAACAGGCCTGGATAATGAATAGATTTCTCGGAATTTCGACTTCCGGCTTCAAATCCAGACTCGTGCCCAGTCGCTGTCCGTGGAAACGTAAATGTGAGAGACTATTAGAAACGATCAGGTCAGAAAGGCCGGTACGAAAAATTGGAAAACAAGGGTAAACACATTTCTCCTTAGCAAATGTGGAAAGGTTCTCATCAACAGATTCTCCTACAATGTTACAGTAAATGATCTAATAAACGCCCAGGAGTCTATTTTATGCTATAGGAACCCAAGCGCAGGAGTGGGGGGGGGGGGGGGTGTCGTTTACGTAGGAGGCGTTTTAGTCTAATTTTTAAATTGTGCTCAACAAAACTATGCTTGTGGTGAACATATCACCTCAACCTATAAATTGAAGACTATCGAGTCCATCGTTTGATACGTCCAGGTCGTTTGGAGATCAGTATCGTTTTTCCCTGATGATGCCGTTGATAGGCGAAAGCTTGGGTTGTAACTTTATTTTAAAATCAGCAGTTTTAATAAGGCCTCGTTTGAACAATATTTTTATTTTTCGTTTTTTTTTTTTTTATAGAGTTCTACGTCAATGTCAGAGTCCTTACTTTTAACTTGAAATTGAAAAACTGATACAATAAGAAAACTCTTATTAGAACGGCAAGAATTCTCGGAATAAGTGCTGAATGATTTTTCTCTGTTTCGCGACTTCCATTTTCGCAAATTGCTATTTTGGCAATTGTCATGCGGGGCACATCATTTGATCATTTACGGTGTAAACCTATCTAAGAATACGGAATTTTGTCATGATCCGGGCACCCATGGCCAACGACCAGATGTTACCAGTTTGTCGGAATTGGTTCAAATTAGGTTTATGTAATCATGCTTTAATGGAAGCTTATTTGAATTGGTTTATTTGGAACTGCATGCCTTACTGTTTGGATGTCAAAGGGGAACTCGAAACTTTTAGAAGAGTTTTTCGTCTCATCCGAATCCTGATGGGTCCGGTGGAAAGTTCCAGGACTTTGAGTAACCGTACTTTCGTTGGAAGATTCCTGGGGACGTTTTGTCTTTAGTTAGACCGAAATTTTCAAGAGACCTTAAATAGTTATTTAAAGCAAACATCAACTTTATAAAAGACACTTGAAGTTTAGTTGATTTTTGTTTAAAAATCTTAATGTACAGTTTGAAATCCAATCTTATCACACCCTTCAGTGTATAATACAAAAACTACAATAATTCCCGGTTATAAAATATGAATAACACAACCTCCGAAAATCGGCAGTTACTTCCTGTACCTGACACCTCAATCAATCTTTAAGCGAATTATCTTTTCAACCTATAAATCAAAATGATTAGTAAAAACAATAGTGTCCTTATTTTTGACCCAAAAAGTTTTATAAAAAATACATAAATAGACCAGAATCTTACTTTTCCATTTAAAAACATGAAATATTCGGCGGCGTTGCCCATGTTTCTCATATGGAGCGAAACTTACTTTCATACCACAACAAGCGGTTTCTTGGGGGGCACGCTCAGGAGGTCAAAGGATGTGATTTTTCATGAAAAAAATATTCACAAGATTCTGCTTGACCTGTTTAGAAAATAATGTGTTTAATTTTTAATAATTAACTAACAGCTTACTGATTTATTCTTTGGGCGACCAACTTGGAGGCCCGGGCCGCACCCAAGCCAAAATGTTTGGGAGACCGAAGGGCTCCCTGAAATTTTTATTTGGGCGACCATCTAGATCTTTCAGGCCTGGCCACCCCAGCTAAAATGCTTGGGAGCCCGAAAGGCTCCCTGAAATTTTCCCTAGAAGCACAGCCTTGCAGCACTGTAGTCATTGGAAGTATGATACATAACATGCTATTGTTGAATGTGGAAGTGCATATTTTTTTTCCAATATATTTATTGATAATCACATTAAATAATTACAGTTACAATACTACAGAAAAAAAAAAAACAAAACACTTTAACAATAGACATTAACAGAGTAAAGCAAGATTAATTATTAAATTATTAAATTAATACAGGGCTAAAAGAGATTACAAAAAGTACAACAGGGCAATGAAATAATACGAAGTTAATGCAGTTAACTTAAATAAGGCGTCAGTATCCACTTTCTTTTAAAGAATTCTTTGTTGCTGATTTTTTCTTCTGTTTCATATTTAGCGATGATCTTGGCCCTAAATCCATAAATGTTTGGAAAGATTTGTTTGCTCCTACAGTCCCACAAATAGAGTTTTCCAATAATTATAAAATAGTTCAGCAGTTGAAGCAAAGGGCAAGTATTTTCCGTCAAAATTCCAAACAGCACATTTTCCAAGCAGAGACGAATTCGTTGATTCGAAATAAGGCACCAATAAAGTTCAAATTCAATCCAAAACTGTTTAGAGCGCGAGCAGTGATAGAACAAATGAGTTAATGATTCGGGTTGATTGTCACAGAAAGAGCATAAATCATTTGCTCTAAAACCTATTTTATACAACTTTGTATTTGTGTAAAGAATTGAGTTAATTACCTTGTACTGGAAAGCTTTAACATACGATTCGACAACGATAGAGTGAGGCAGCTTAAATATTTGCCTCAGATTGTCGCTGTTAAAATGAAAGTTACTCTGTAATTTTTTAATAATATTGGGCGGTTTAGCTTTTTCTCTGATGAATAGGTTGTAGTAATCCTTTGATTTCCCTTTCGTAACATCAAAAGTATTGTCACCCACCACAAATGTTGGAGAGTTTATGGAGGGATACCTGTCATAACCTCTTAACGATAATGGAATGGACCTACGTAAGCCAGCCCATTCTAAAATATTTGTTTTGCATACTTTTTTAGACAGTTCATTATAAGAATCAGTGCTGTTCAGACTAAGTAAAAGATCCTGAATGCAAATGACTCTCGCATTAACATAATGTTTATAATAAACCGGCTTGTTTTCTACTTTTATTTCTTTGTTATTCCAGATTATGGTTTTCCAGTCTTCTTCAGTGGCAAAGTGCATATTTTGAGGACATTAGTAAAGGGAATGCAAATTTTACTGAACTACCCCATACTGTTAACAATTTATATGGTGGTAATATTGATGTAAGTTTTGTTTTGAGTAGCAAAGGAACCCTAGTGTGCAACTCATCTTCTAGTGTATTATTCCATAACAGAACATCTCCGTCTCTTCTGCACACATTTGTTGTTGATATATACACCTCTCAACTTGCCATTGCCATTCAACATACAAGCAATTCTTACTTACACCAACACATCCCGCGTAAACGCCTTCGGGCGTCAGTTCTTGTTAAATATAATCAGTATAATGGCGGAAAGCGACATTCACTCGGTCGAACGATCAAGGTCTGCAGCAGTGACGGAGGTGAAAAAAGCCCTTCCCCCTGGAAAGTACTGCTCAATCTTACCTTTAATGGTTTTTAAGAGCCCTTGGAGCAAAAATGTGGAAGAATTCAAAACAGAAATCGTGTTTTAAACTGAGTATTATTGCAGCACAAAGTTTGTAACGATACCTTGGCGTGGTGTGGAGCAACCTTTGCCGTCGATGTTTTAAAATATACCGTAGATCCTTTACAACGCTGCAAGTGATGTGGTTCGTCGGAACCTTACTGATTCTACTGTAAGGTAACCTTTAAAGAAACATGAAACCGTTTAAAAAAAAGCCTAGAAGCTTATCTCCTAGCGGTAAGAAGCTTTCGCAAACAGTTACTGAAGATGAATAATGAACGGTTACGCCTCGGAAGTACATCATTAATATGCAGATTATCAAACATCATTAAAGTTCCGCGCATTTTTTTACGGTTTTCAGAGGAGAAGTGATGTGTAAAGAGTTCCTTCTAAAGACCACTAAAATAAGTAATCAACTCTCTAATTGAGCCTCGAAGTACCGAAGAGTACACTAAGCAAGGGCTTTAAAACCTTTTAAAAAGTTACGGAGCACGCTACACTGACGCTAAATCAAAGACAATAATCTTCTTATGCGAGGCTGTGCAATGTCCCTTCGAATGTTGTGATCTCTGTGACTCCAGCGGACTCCACACGGCTCAAGAAGACGCATGAATAGAGTACATTGGAGCGGTCAACGTTCGATGATTTCTTATATATATTTATTTTTATAGTCAGTATAACAACAGGCCTTGATAATGAATAGGTTTCTCGGAATTTCGACTTCCGGCTTCAAATCCAGACTCGTGCCCAGTCGCTGTCCGTGGAAACGTAAATGTGAGAGACCATTAGCAACGATCAGGTCAGAAAGGCGTACGAAAAATTGGAAAACAAGGGTAAACACATTTCTCCTTAGAAAATGTGGAAAAGTTCTCATCAACAGATTCTTCTACAATGTTACCGTAAATGATCTAATAAACGCCCAAGCCCCGGTTCCTGGAAAGCCGATTAGCGCAAATCGAGGATTAAATCTCGCTAATCGGGGAATAAATTTTATCCCCCCATTAGATACTGTTCCTGAAAGCACGATAAACATTAATCTAGGAATAAACTAAGTGTTTAATTTAACCCACCTAGCGAAGTCGATTAAGTCACTTATTGGGGGAAAAAGTCTGTAAAAACAAACAAAATGGCAGACTTACCGTTGCCACAAATATAACAAATACGTGAAAAAAAAAATGGTTTCGACAGCAGGAAATTTTTCGTCTCGTCCGAGCCCTGATGGTTCCGGCAGTCAAAAGTTCGAGGACATGGAAGTAGCCGTCCTTTCTTTGGAAGATTCTTAGGAACGTTTTGTGTTTAGACCGATTTTTTTTTTGTAAAACAAAAATGAACGATATAAAAGAAACGACTTTTAAATGAAATTTGTTCAAAAATCTTAACGTCTTTTGAAATCGATTATTATTACACCCTTCAATTTAATACAAAAAATGCAATAATTCGGCCCGGTAATAAGCTAAAATAGGAATAACACAACCTCCGAAAATCGGCATTAACTTCGTGAACCAGACACTGATGACGTAGAACAAAAGAGCTTAAACCATGAAACAATACCATGCAGATTTTTCCCTGAACAGAAAACAAAGAAGTCTTTTGCTTTCAGTACGTCATCTGTGTCCGCGGTGCACCAAGTTTTGACCCGAAAATATAAGGGAAGTTGGCAGAAAAACTTGCGAACTTAGACGAATGTCATTGCTGAAATTTTTAACCTCTTTTGAAATTTCTAGGCAATATTTGCTCCAGTCCCGTTAGCATATTCTGGTACTGGAGGCATCTGAGAAACGTCGACATTTTATTATACAGATAATCGCTTGCGATAGTGCTTACACTGAGAAATTCTGGCTTCCTGCATGGCAGGCCTAAATTCTTCTGCCTTTCTTTTCGCAACTGCAGAAGCTGCGTACAAACTTTTCAGTGAGAATATATTTTATAAGAATATCGAGGCTGACATTTGCAAAATTTTAAGAATATATTTTTAACAATACACCGAGGCTGTCATCACTGCAAGAGCGCGAAGAACATTGATTGAACTTTCACATTTTTACAAGATCCAGTGTAACTTAGTCGCTTTATTTGCCCCCTCCTAGTACAGTGGAACCCCGTGAATACGGTCACCAATAGGCCCAAAAAAATTGGCCGTATTAACGGGTGACCGTATTACCGAGGTGGCTGTAAGGCGGGGTTCCACTGTATTAACGAGGGCTCTTTTCTTACAAGAAAATGTATGGCTGTTTTGCCAGGCGGCCAAAAATGTTCCCTGTTAGCAGAGGTCTCTCACGACTATGCAAACGACGATTGCCTCGTCGTGAGAGACCTCTGCTAGCAGGGAGCCAAAAAAGTGGCTGTAATACGAGGTGGCCGTCAGGCGGGGTTTCACTGTAATACCCATACCACCTCCAGTACCAGGAATTCTCATACAGCATGACATAAAACCTTTGTGCTATTTCCGTAGTTTGGTCGCATCTAAGACCATAGTTATGGGTTTTTTCGTCACCGTTTACTGCCTAGCTCCCCGATTGTCACAATAACCATGTGGTTTGGCCATTTTTGAACCTAATTAAAGAAGATAAAGCCCCTCCGCAGGATGGAAACGGGATTGAAAGAAGTAAGCGGTGCCATAATATGAAACTGGTCGCTATGCCTAAAGTGTTTATCCCACAATTTAGCTCCCCGATTGTCACAATAACCATGTGCTTTTGGCAGTTTTAAACCTAATTAAAGAAGATAAAGCCCCTCCGCAGGATGGAAACGGGATTGAAAGAAGTAAGCGGTGCCATAATATGAAACTGGTCGCTATGCCTAAAGTGTTTATCCCACAATTTATGGGGTGGGGTTTTTAATACATGACATGGCACGTCGTTTCAATCATCGCCGAAAATAAACCGCATGCTCACCACAAGACCATTTGCACACAATGAAAGTTAACAACACCTGACCATCGCAGTTTTGCTAATTAAGATTCTTATTTTTTTCGACAACTCAGTAGTGTTCACTTGTTCCAAAGTAATCAACGTTTTCAAGCGATAGAATTCGTGGACCGACACGTTTCGGAAAAGCTCTAAATTTAGAGGCTTCGATCACGCAACTATTCTTATTCCCAGTTTCCACGGTCTCCCCTAGGAACGCCTGCCACAATGATCCCCATTTGTGTACAAGATACGAAGAAAAACGCGTTACAGACTATGAGTCTCGCTGCTTACGCATGCAAGCGAGACTGATTAATTACAAACATAAATCTACTCACGGCGTTTGTTTTCTAAAAATTAATTTTAGTGAGCTCTTCCAACTCAAATTATTAGCTTAGGTAAACTGAGAACTATAATCTATTATATTGTAAATCCTTACAACAATTAAAGCACCTTAAGTGGTAATAATCAAAATTAGTTACTGGCAAAGGTATGCTTTACCAGGCTGGGCAATTTCCCATTTAGTGGGAGAGAAATAGCTTCATTTTTACTAAAACTATGGCTTAATGGTCATCTACAATTCGTGATGTTAATTACAACTTGGGTCAGTTGAGTCAGTTGACATGTTGTTCTCAACTTCCGTTTTCTTCTCTCTTTCAATGTTCTTCAAAACTGGAAAAATGCACCGGAAAAAAAAAACATTACTTAACAATCATGGAAAGGAGAAAGGGAGGAACCAGGACTGTGTAACCCTTGTTATAATTTGGTAACCTACAGTAAAAAAATTAAATTTGCCAATAAATAAATGGCAAGCCCTTAAAGCAGTAAATTTTGTTTGATAATAAATTAAAATTCAAACAAAAAAGACTGTCTTACAGTCAACCTATAAATGTTTATGTGACCCCCAATTTTTCAAAAAATAAGTTATATAGCAGATCAAACTTAGAATTCAAAATTATGCCTTTGCCCAGCCTAGTCCCCATGTGTTTTCGGCCTGGACTCTACGATGAGCCGTGACGTCACCAAGAGATACTCGCCAAGAACGCCGTTCTCTCGCCCGCTCTCTCCCAGACTACGCGCGGACAACAGATCGAGAGAGAACACCTAAGGACTAGGCTGGCCTTTACCCAGTACATGAAAGGAAAAACGCTAGGAGCCCCTATGGCCATAGCTTATAAAACTGGGTTTAATTTTAGTAACCAGCCAGACAATGAGATATGAACGAGTGAACTTAATACATGAACAGGCATGAAAATTCCTTGTGGGTAATTTTTCATGCACGTTTGCATATCTTGCCTACTGTAGCTCACCTTCCTTATGGGTGGCAATTTTCATGCAAACTCTACAAATCAGTATTTGTCTACTTCTATGCTTTACCTTCTCCTTTAAAAATTCACTTCCTTAAATTGCATTTAAAGGTTGTATAAATTTAAAAATGTAAGATTACTACAATGTTGATGACAAAAAAGATGAAATGTCTTTAGTTGATTTTCAAAACAATTTTCCCTACTAGTACAGTATTTTTTAGAAATTTGAAGGTAAATCTGAATTGACGGCTTGGCTTAAAGTTGTCGAGAGCCTAAGAAGATGCCATGTCAAAATCAGGGCGAAAACAAAGTCAAACTAAAGGGAGATCCACCTTCCCCCTCTTGACACCGGTAGCGAAAGTAACCTGATAATGTTCTGCCGCCTCCTGGAATAATCAGCTTGAAGAATTAGCAAAGCTAAATTTGTTTGAAAACAAGCAATCAGGTCAGAAATAAGCCCAAGTATAAAAGACAAGAAAGGGGAGCGCCCGTCCGGCATCTTGAATAAGTTTCTAATTTTGCACGGAGTAGATTGGAACTGATAGTGTGTCCTCAGCGTTTTTGAAAAGTTCCGTTTTCATTGATCGTTTTCATCGGATACGTGTGGACCGAAGCCGTATTCGTAAAGAAAAAGTTGCGTTTTCATATAAAAACGGATACGTGTGCACAGGGCTTAAATTTGATAACAGCTTAATTTTCCTTTAACTTTCAAAGCGACCATAATGAAAATGCTAGAATAATCCTAAATCCCAATTCGTAAAGTGAATATTCAATCTACAGGCGAAATGGTAAATCCACCCAGTGAAGAGAACGACAGCAAAGTACATATTCTCATTCATATTCCTTGACATCTTGGTATAGAGCGTTTCCACATGACGTCAAGGTGGCAATATTTCTGTTCCAAAACATGGGTTACTTTCTTTATATATAGTATTT